GTCAAAGGCTCGGGGGTGGTCCCTTAATAAAACCACCTGCTTCGGTCTGGGCGCCCGGGCAGTATCTCAGCCCGCACACAATGAATGAATTAAAGCAACGAACTCCCATTGAAACTCAACGCGCGCTAGCAAAATGATTCCAAGCAATACTGATCCCTCAAGGAACTTATTTCCTTCCTACCCTACTTTTATTTTTATACATAGTTTCCTGTATTGTACCTTTTCTAACCTTGGCTTCTTAACCTTCGACAGCCTTTCGCCTTTGTCGAGATTCCCAGCCTATCCGTGTCGTTTCGAGATGTTAGTGAGTAGTCCTCAAAATGGTTGTTCCCAATGTGACATCTAACACGGATATCCTGAAACCGCGTGCTGCGTTCAAGCTGGCTACCTACAATGTTCGGACGCTGATGCAAATCGGACAACAGGCAGGGTTGGCAAGAACTTTGGAAAGCCTCGCTATCGATGTCTGCTGCATTTCGGAGACCCGCATTCAAGATCCCAGTGAAGTGCTTCGACTATCCTCTCCATCTGGAAGTTCTAGTAGTATGTACCACCTGCGCTTATCCGGGGACCCTGTGGCGTCGGCATCCGGCGTAGCTGGTGTCGGTGTCGCACTGAGCGCTAGAGCCGAAGCTGCACTGCTCGACTGGATTCCCATTAACAGTCGTTTATGTGCTGTGAGGCTGGAAGGTTATACGAAAGTAAAGAGTAGTAGGCCAGATAGGCGGTGTCTATTTGTTGTCTCTGCCTATGCACCGACGGATTGCAGCCCGGATGCAATGAAGGATGAGTTTTACTACCAACTGAGCGATCTCTGGAAACAGGCGGGTCGGAGGGATATCGTAGTGCTGGCTGGGGACTTGAATGCACAGGTCGGGCGTCTAAGCTCAGAGGAGAATCGTCTAGGTGGTCAGTGGGGACTACATGGTCGCAGGTCAGATAATGGGGACCGTCTTCTGCAGCTTTGCGCGGATCACAACCTATTTCTAGCTAGCACCAACTTCCGGCACAGCCATCGCCGTAGCGCTACCTGGCGTCCTCCCTCTGCGAAGCAAGCTTGGACTCAGATTGATCATATTGCGGTCAGTTTCCGGTGGCGAGGATGCATACAAGACTGTCGCTCCTTCTGGAGCACATGCCTGGACTCCGATCATGCGTTAGTGTGTGCCAAGTTCGTCTTGCGATTTGGTGGGGTTCGTAAAAGCCGTCGTCTAAGCGTTGATGTGAGCAAACTAGTAGCACCTGCTACTTCTTTGAAATATCAGAATGAGTTAAAAACAATGCTTGCCAGCAACCCCCCAAGTAGTATAGATGAACATTGGCTTCATGTGCAAGGTGCCATGCAAAAGGCGAGTGTAGCCGCTTGCGGCTTGAAAGAATGCTCCGCTAACAACCACTGGGTTTCTGCGAGTTCCTTGCAACTCATGGATGAACGCCGGTCCATTCCGGCTGGCAGCGAATACAACAATCAGCGAAAGGCGCTCACGCGCAAGATTAGACAGTGTTTACGTAAGGACCGCGAAGCCTGGTGGTCAGAACGTGCGTGTGAGATGGAGTCAGCTGCTGCATCTGGCAACAGTCGGAAGCTGTTCCAACTCATACGAGCCACCGGCAGCAAGAAACAAGGTGTCAGCGAGACGGTCTGTGAGGCAGATGGCACTCCAATTACCAGCCTGAAAAGACGCCTGGAACGCTGGGCAGAGCACTTCGGGAAGCAGTTCAGCTGGCCACCAGCTTCAGTGTCTACTATCATTAGCCCGAGTGCTCCTTGGTCGGTTAGTACCGACCCACCCACCGAAGCGGAGGTCCGTAAGGAACTCCAAGTTCTGAAACGCCATAAGGCGCCCGGCCCAGACAAATTACCCCCGGCTCTTTTTAAAGATGGTGGCGAGACTCTCACAATGGCTCTAACTGGGTTGTTCAGGAAGGTGTGGGAGACAGAGAGTGTACCATCAATGTGGAACGAAGCCATTATCGTCCCCATCTTTAAAAAGGGTCGACGTAATTCGTGTGACAATCATAGGGGTATCAGTCTGTTACCAGTCGCGTCTAAAATATTGGCTGCTGTCTTGCTTCGCAGACTGTGCAAAATACGTGAAGGATTGATTCGCGAAGAGCAGGCTGGGTTTCGTTCAGGTCGTGGATGCATTGATCATGTGTTCACCCTTCGTCAGTTGTTGGAACACCGCCACACGTATTGCAGGCCAACGATCGTTGTGTTTCTTGATATTAGGGCTGCCTTCGATTCGTTGGACAGAACTGTGCTCTGGAACTGTCTGTTAGAGAGAGGTGTACCTGAGAAATTTGTTAACATCTTGAAAGCCCTATACAGAAACACCTCAGGTAGAGTGAGGGCATACAACCAACTATCACCACTGTTCCCAACCAACAGTGGGGTTAGACAGGGTTGCCCAATCTCTCCATTTCTCTTTAACTTTGCCATCGATGACATTCTGGAGTCAGCTCTGAAGGATGTGCGTGAAGGTGGTGTAGATCTGCTACCTGGAGATAGACTTTTCGACCTCGAGTATGCAGACGATATCGTCTTACTGTGCGATAGCATGCAGGCTGCCCAAATCGCACTTAATCAGTTGGCGATCAGTGTCTGTAAGTATGGTATGTGCTTTGCGCCGTCTAAGTGCAAAGTACTGTTACAAGATTGGCAGGAGCCTGTACCTGCACTCACTCTTGCGGGTGAACCGCTTGAAGTTGTTGATAAGTTTGTGTACCTGGGTAGTTGTGTGAGTGCTGGCGGAGGGGTGACGGATGAGATTTCCAACCGTATAATGAAGGCTAGGGTGGCATACATCAACTTGAGCCACCTATGGCGCCGTCGCGACGTTAGCCTGGCTGTCAAAGGTCGGGTATACAATGCTTCGGTGCGGGCTGCGCTGCTCTACGCCTGTGAAACCTGGCCTCTCCGAGCTGAGGATGTGCGGCGACTCTGCGTGTTCGATCACCGCTGTCTCCGCTGGATTGCTTGCCTCCAAAGCCTCAGGATGGTCGGGGGTGGGTGCCTTGCGCTGCGGGTTGGCCACCCCTCCGTACACCTCTTGAAATGCTCCCATATGACCGGGCGTCTTACATAGCCTCTCCTGAGGAAGTCCTACTCACTGCCTTCACGTGGCGGAGGTGTTTCTCACCAAAGTGAGAGGGCGAAAGCGGATGCCCGGCGCTCTCCACCGGGTTGACTGTCCATTGGATGACGGTCTAGGGGAGATGGCTAAACCCTGATTCCAAACCTCCAACGACTGGCGTATGAAGCTCACTGGAGCTCACCGGCAGACGTATGGACAAAGGGCTTGTTGGATGTCCTGGATGTCTGGCCCCATTCAAAAAGGCGTATGAACCGAACTCCGGTCACCGGCTGCCAATGGATAGTGGACTCCTTACTCCACTCCTACTGCCTTGTAGGTCACACTTGGCTGTGTAAAGGCTAGAGCTGCACTCTCAAACAAAAGGCCGAGCGATGCTGGGGACATCACTCGTACCAAATTCCCATGAAACTTCATGAAATCTCTTACAAATTGCCGCGCCTGGGCAGCGATGATTCGAGATGTTCATGAAGCCGGCTCATCCTCCCGTAGGAGATAGCCGAAGTAAAGTAAAAAAAGTAAGTAAGTTCGATGACATCATCGCATGAGTAATTCTGAGGTTCGGCGGCGTGTGTTTGAACACAGTGGAGATCACCATTCATTGAATGTCGTCATCTGGAAACACCGGCTCCGGTGGCTTGGATACGTGCTGCGAATGTCACCCCAGAGGCTTCCGTACAGGTCTCTGTTCGCTAGCCAGGCCTGGGACGGGATGGAAAAGGCGGAGAGGTGGTCAGTCCATGACGTGGCGTCGTGGGATGAAGGATTTTTGTGCTAGATTAGCATCGGTTGGTGTGTCACGACTCCCTGGTTGGGGTCCGAGAGATAGCTCAAATCGATGGCTCGAAACGTTATCGGATATAGCCAAGAATCGTAATCAATGGCGAACGTGTTGGAATTTCCTTCATTCTTCCCTTCCCGATGATAGTTAAAGAAAACTGTTTGAACTTGTTAAGCATGAGTGTTTTCCTTCCAGATGAAGTTCTTTATCCGTTCTCTACTTATATATATTTTTTTCTTTCCTTCCTTCCTTTTTTTGATCTATGTTGTTTTATTATTATTGTGTGGCGCATCTTTCTTGGTGCCATATTGTACCAAGTTTTTATGCGTTTAAATAAATAAATAAATAAATGCTGTTATCACCTTTTTTAGGGATAGTGTAACGTGAGAAGACAAGAGACTTTGTCACCAAATGTTTATTTGTTATTTGATATACATATACAGGGAAATTATGTATATCATATATTAGAGTCGTCATTTACACAGATCTTGCCCTTTGTATCGTGTTTCTCTGTCTTCTTTTCGTGTCTCCTATGTTTTGCCGAAATACTACTGGTTCATTTCTTCTCTTTAACATCGAATCTACTTGAATCTATTATAATTCAAAAGGGTGATAATTTGATTAGAACTCAGTGAGATTACCTTCAGCTTATTTGTAAATGCTTGTTACACTGTGCCTGATTTTCATTGTAAGCTTCATTCTTAATGGCTAAGTGAAACTGAGTGATCGTTAAATTATGTTAGTGATTGAAATTAAATTACCGAAAAATTTCTCTTTTAGGTAAATTCTGTGTAAATTTGATGTTCACACCACGTTAGGCCTAATGATGCTATCTAACCGTCTAATCTTCAGCTAATGTGAGGTAGAATCTAAGCATTTGATCCGTCGGTTGAGATCCTTCTGCTTCAGCCGATCGATCACATTTCCATATAGTTATACAGAGTATTTAGAGAAGACTATCTAGAGTGTTTGTCTGGCAACTCGTTGATTGGGGTAAAGCTCAGCCTAAAAATTTGGATATATCTTTAGCGAAAGTGGATTCTAAAGATAACTTATGCCGTTTTTTTTAAAAAAAATTCCCACCTTTTCTCACGAAAAGTTTCTCCCCTATGTTTTGTTTTTAGAGTAGTCTGTGTCGGTGGTGATGGATTTTTAGCAGAAGCTGTTCAAGGTCTATTACTACACGAAAGGCGTAAGGCAAATTTACCTCTGTTTGTTGATCATAAACCTGGAGAAATTGAATTGAAACCAAAGATTCCACTCGGAGTTATTCCAGCAGGTGATTGAAGAAATTTTTATACTTCGATGTATATTTTTTGTTTTTAAGTTCTCTGCATTCCAAGTGCATCATACAGTTTCATGTTTACAGTAGCGGTAGTGTTGTTGCTTTTTATAGAGTGATGTTGCCAGTCTCACCCCCATCCCCCACCGGAACCTAAACTCTTTTTCGGATTTACAATTGTCTAGTAAACTAGATGAGATTCAGAAGTGAGTCAATAGATGCTTAGCCATAATCACTCGTTAACTGACCTTTCCTGTATGTTAATATCTTATGAAATAAAGTCTTCAGTCGTAATCGTGTTATAGATTCACTGGACATCCGCATAAACGTGTTTGTGAGTTGTAATATTCTCTGGGAGCCTAATTCAGTTCTAGATTCATCGTAATATTGACCCTGACTGTCTTAATTCCTAGTGAAAAATGTATCAATGCGAGGTTTCATATTCACTTACACTGGTATAGTTCCTCAATCCCAGTTAATATTGAGTGTTTATTATTATTATTTCCTTTAATTTCTAGAGGAACATAGGGCTTCAGCCGCGCGTCTCCATTGCGTTCGGTTCTCTGCTAGAGTTTTCACCTGGCTCCAAGTCTGCCCACATGCTTTCATCTCCTCTTCACAATACGTCTTCCAAGTCACCCTCACACTGACGAACAACTCGCCCCTTCCCTTACAGGTTCCACTCAGGGGCTTGTCTAGTGATGTCACTTGATGGTTTCCTCAGAGTATGGCCAATCCATCTCTATTTCTTCCTGCCCGTTTGTTGCACAATCAGTTCCTCGTTGGTTCACTCCCAGAGATCCCCTTTTCTGATCTGTTCTGGCCATCTGATATTGAATATTGAGCAAAGACAGCTGTTAATGAAGGTCTGTAGTTTGTTTGAGATGCTCTTTATGACGCTCCAAGTCTCTGATCCGTGTAGTGAGTAGCACTGACTTGACATTGGAGTTGAAAATCCGGATGTTATTTTTGATGGTGAGTGCTGTTGACCTACACACAGACTTGGGAGTAATGAAAGCTTACCTTGCTTTCCCGATCCTCGCTGCTTTGATATCCTCGTCAGTTCCATTCGCCTGTAGTTGAAACTATGCTTCCCAGGTAGCTGGTAAAGAAGGTTGCTTCTTTCAGATTTCTCCCATTTATGCTATAATACCTGTTGTTTTACTATCATCCATACCTGATTAATTAATTGAGCTTTGTGGTGGTTCAGTGATCTGACTAAACCGTCTATTAGATTATCAGGTTTTCTTAGTGGCACAGCGGTAGAGTGCTCACCGACCACGTAGGTAGTCTGGGGTTCGATCCCCAGCCGACACACTCCTTTACCTCGCTAGGCCGGTAATAAGTCTGGTAAAAAGGGAAAGGTTGTGCATGAGGCTAACAACCCAATCCTGTAAAAGTAATCAACATTGCTACCGAAACTTCAAGCTTGTAGCTTGAAGCCCTATATTCCACTGGGAACGTAAAGGAATAAAAGAAGAAGAGACAAAGAAAAAGAATGGTTTTTCTGCAGTCAGTTTGTGAACTTTTTTACTTTACACTATAATGTATAAGGTATTTCTTTTTTCTTATATATATATATATATATATATATATATATATATATATATATATGTATAATCGATATGTCATTGGATCAGCTGTTTTTAAAAATGGTTTAGTCCACCTGCTTGTGTAATCTCTATTTCTGTTCACGTGTTTCATTTCATTTTGAGTTTCACATGTGAGAATTACTTATTTAAGCCTATTTCAAGGTGTATAATAATTTATACACTATAAGAGACAACAAAGGAAAGTAAAGCCTTAACATAATAATCTATGGATAGAGAATCTTCTCAAACCCCGTGTTCAATATGGACAGAATACGTTTTAGAATTACCTCAATCTGAGTTGACTGTTTTAATATCGAATCCAAAAGTTCGTCATATAGTTGAAAAAAAGTCTTGTTGTATTGAAGTCACTCGACGTGTACTAAACCGACGATATTCATCTCTTCATTGGATTAAATATTCTATTATACGAGTCAGTGGACCAAACAGTAAGGCTATCCATGAATGTAATCGTCTCCTTGAAAGACTTGTACCAATTTATCAGAAACGTAAAGCTTATCCAAAACGTGCACCAATTACTTATTATTCATCATCTAAAAGTCTGTTGAATGCCGGTGGTGATCTAGTTTATAATCCCTTTAGATCGTCATTATCAGATGTTCGTTCAATTGACTTCGATAGTCAATCATCGTATAGATCAAAACCTTCAAGATCTTTATCATTATCATCGATGCCATCATCATCATCAGCAACAAAATTGTGGACTGGTAAAAAGCCTCGTAATGACATCAATTCAATCAGTAAATATTCATCATCATTGTGGGAAATGGAAAGGAAAAATGAAAGTAGGAACACAAAGCCTTGTAAGAAAAGTACACTACATACATCATCTCAACATTTGAATCAATTGTTGCTAAAAGAGAATTCTAAGCTAGAAATCTCTACTGAGTATGTTATTAATCTATCTGATGCTATTCAGGATAATAAAGTTCAATCCTCATCGTTTTTACAGTCTTCAAAAATATCATCGAATAAGCAAGATCATTTAAAACAGAAGTATACATCTACAGTTTCTGTTAACAAGCCGACAAAATTACCTACACAAGAGTTAAAACATCCTATTGAAATGGATTTCTCCCTACAAGTCCCGTGTACTAAACCTACACAGGCTATATCACGCTCACCTCTTTTAAACAATACTCATAAAAGCAATAAAGTGAAGAAAACCACTTCAACGCTTCAATATACTACAAACACTTTAAAAAGCCAACCATCATCTTTACTAGTGAATATCAACTACCAGCATAATGTACCAGAAAAAGAGATTTTCACTGCTCTTTTATACTTAACTAATATCAATGAAATTTCAAATGAATTTAAAAATACCCCTAAAATTGTTGGAGAGTCTTTAAATAAACAAAAAAACAAAACTTTGAAAATTCTTCCACAGATTGGATGTTCCGTTGATGTTGCCTATCCATTCAGTATTGATTATGAGATAAAAACCCTGACAGAAGTCAATTGTAATCCAGTTGGCGTGAATTTAAAGGATTTCACTTTCTTTTCATTGGTCACTTTAGGAAAGCGTATTAATAATCAATTGCCTGGTGTTGTAACACTACAACAAGATAGTACTTTATGTGAATCATCTGTTTTGGAAAATACAATTTCAACTATTATAAACACATGCCTTAAGCGTAATGATACTACAAGAACATTAGGAGTTCCGGTCGAATCGGGCGGTGGTACATCTAATTTAGCTTGTGATAATTCAAAAGTGATGAATACATTCACTGATGGGATTAGGAATTGGCATATAAAATTACAACGGAATACTCGATTCGGTGTAGTAGGTTCAGTGTCTAGTTAACTATTAACTTGCATAAAAAGAAAAGCGGGTGTTTAGTTATCTGTGTTAATGTTCATTCAGATGGTAATATTTGTTTTTAATTCTTCACTCTTTAATCTTTGTGTATTTCTGACACAATCAGTTGTATTCGAATTGGTGTGTGTGTGCGTGCGTGCGTTTTATTTCCCTAAAGTCGCTTGCATTAATGATGTCATTATTGTTTAGTTTAATTTGAATGGCTTTTCTATACTTGTCATTATTTCCAATGACAAATATATATATTTTTAAAATTTACTGACACAATTTCTCTTGTATCAGTTATATTTTTGTCAACTGAAAGTGATTGAGTAGGGCGATTAAATGTAGTCATGAAATGTGGTTTCTTTCAAATTTTCTTTCACATCGTTCACTGCGACAGTTTAGTATATTTAATATGAAATTAAGAAAATGGAAATTTGTGAAAAGTCTCCCTTTAGCTTTACCAACCTAACCAGTAAAAACCACCGAATATGTCGGGGAAAAAGGAGAACCGAATCAATTTATGTGACATTTTGATGGATAACATGGAAAAACAGTGCTGAATGTATTTGTAGGCCTTTACGGCATCACTTTGTGGACGAACTGTGAGGTCAAAATGGAAAATCGGCAAATGTATGAGAATTTTAAATCACGTAAATCAGGTCTGTCTGTCTGTTTTCGACGTAGAACTTTGCACTAATGTGCGTCAGTTCAAGTCGCCACACTTCATGTAGCACTCAAAGCAAGAGTAGAAAGTAAAAAGAAATGCATAATATAGACAGTAAACAAAGGTGTGAGACAAATGAATAGTAATATCGAAGAACAATATAGTTTCATTGAAAATTATACGTCACAAGGAGTGGATGCATCTGCGCCATTGTAAATCAGGAAAGTTACTGAAGATCAGATAGCGGGTCTGAAAGGCTAAGCAGTCAAGCATCTATCCCAGGGAATATGAAGAAGAGAATAGAGACAGATAGGACATATGCTGCGTAACATTACGCGTTAGCCAGGACCTCGAATGAGACCTGGATGGGAAATTAGGAGTTGGGCGCCGTTCTGAGGGTGATGTACATGATATCATGTAAGGTTGGAATGAAAGCTTATGAATAGCCGTGGAGCCATCTAAAAATGACAGCAAAGGACAAAATGAAATAGAGATGTGCTGTTCAAGGCTCATTTTCCACTAGAAGTTTAAGAGACGAATACTACTAATAATAATTCAGAAAAGGTAGAGTTTTTGTTAACATCAAGCAGAAGTATTAGGAAACGATGGCGTTTCTTAGCTGATATCAGTTAAGGCGAACAAGTATGAAGCGTTCGATTAGGCAGAGCTTCCTACTGACCTAACATTTAATATATAGTTTAAATGTACTACAATGTGCAGCGGTGTTATGTCATCATATTACACAACTGACCGATAAATTTTGACTCAGCAGTTTTATTGAGTCTCATTTGATGATGACTATTTCGCATAAACGGTTGCGTTTATTACAACAGAAAACGTACATTGTACTACTGAGCTGCGACTATGTCTGCTGCTAATAGGAATGATGAATTTGTGCTACATCGATCATCTTTGGAAAATAAATCGGTATTCACTTATTGAATTCACTATAATTAATAGTCAGCAGCTTCTTTCTTATATTACGGATATACCTTGGTTTCATTACTGTTTCTTTTGTATTTCTTTGTATTATTGCTGGCAGCTGATACATCACATTAATTTAGACCATAGTTAAAACTTCTGTATGTTGTTTTTTGCATGTGTCAGGTGATACAGGATTAAACTTAAGTAATACTCATTTGTGTTCTTCACTCATGGATTACCTTCACTTTATATATACAATTTAGATTGTCATGTTGAAATGGACCAGTTCAAAGATATTGTTACTTGTCCTGATAAGTTTTTAGTGTACTACGAAAACGTGGAGACGTGGCTCAGTGGCTTAAACACTCGACTTTCACTCAGTATGTTCCGGGTTCGAGTCCCATTCCACTTACTTAAGCTTGGACAACTGGTTAGTATCATTATCCTTCATATAATAAGTTTGGCTCATAGTCTAGATTATGAAAACGTCCAGTTCTAGAAGCTCCGTACACTATCCTACAATGAAGATGCAATTATTTTAGGAAGATAATTCTATATGGATTGCGTAATATAGACGTAATATAGACATTCAAGTATGTTATCGATGAGATGAATTGCTACTTGATTGGTAGACTTTGAACAGATGTTCGTCCACAAACTAGTTGTATTTATCGTTGATGCATTCCGAGATTGACTCTTAGGCGATTCTTAACTCATATAAGACATTTCTGTTGAGCTTCGAACTGGAAATCTGATGTTGAGTAAAATTTACGTTGAGTATCATACGAAGCTATTTTTTCTTACCTTGAAGTTTACAAAATATTTATATCGTACACATAATCAATAAAACTTTCAATAACATTACGAAATAATCTCGGTGTCTAAAACTTTGACTAAAATTAGGAAGTATGGATAATCACAATTTTGATAAGTGAGTTTTACAAAGTAACATATTTGGCAATGAGGTTTACGGGTTAATCCTACTGAGGTATTCACTGTATTCCACACTTCATGTCATTTTAGTTGATGGTATCCAACAGTGGAATCCAGGACACGTATTCCGTCCTATTTGGCACTCACCGTCTGAATATACTTGCATCTTCAGGGGGTGATCGTCTTCCCACGAAGAGTCGAACCCAGGACCCTTCTTTGCAAACTCTAAGGCTGGGGAGTTCCAAATATGACGAAATGCACATCCTGGATTCTACTGCTAGTCACCATCAACCAAAACAACGTCATGTTAATCTTCAGGCATTGTCGAAGCATCCGTACTACAGGCTGACATGTCAACAGTCCAACATAATCAATCAACTGCGAATGGAAATGAACATGAATAGTATCTTACTCGCAGATCGAGTACATGTTTTAGAGTTCCATTCTTCAATTAACATCAGTTCTTAATGAGGCAATCCTGGTATGGTTGTTTAACCGTTTAAAAGATCTTTCCTCACCAGCTGTTAAATTCGAAATAGTGAAGTTTAAAAACAATAGTTGCTGCTACGTGGTCCGAAAACTTCGGGTTGTTTTCGAGTCACACTATCTCTGTATAATTCGACTTTCTTGTGAAAATCTGTTGAAATATATCAAAGTGGTTTTTTGTTTATAATCCATTTGACACTTTTCAGCAGTTTGAATCCATTGGGAGGGTGTGGTATGGTGTATTGTTTTTCAGACATATACCTGGATTAGTCGTTTCATGAGATAATTCTTATAATGTGCACGTATTTTTCAAGTAAGCCGTGTTTCCCGTATTTTAGATTATTAAAGTGCTGAGTATCCCTATTGACCACTGCACTTGTTTAGGAGGTTGTGTCAGTTTTAATGGATTGATATCTAACGAGATTTCAGCATCGATACAGAAGCTCGTGTGGCATTCGCCAACTTACTTCTTCTGTAGTGTAAATTTTGAGGTGCGGCTACCTAACAGTGTCCTCGTTTATTGCTTTGAGACATGGCCACTGAAGGCGGAAGAGAATAGCTGCCCTTAATTATTGATGCTTGTGTGTTATTTCCCACGTTAAGTCTTATATTATGAGGAGTAATACTAAGGATAGGTGTAGATTGTTAAGGAATGAGAACAAGTCAGTCTATGAGCTTGTGAAACCGTATCTCTCGATATGGATACGACATGCGATACTTACATTGAGTCACCACCTTCCTCGGCGAGGAATGTTAGGTGACATAAAATTAAGCTGGAAAAGAGTTAGCAACCAAACCAAAATCTGGAATCAATACATGAAGTCTTTGACTGTTGATTTAAGCCAGCCATGTAGAGAGGTGTAGACTGACTGGTTGGAGTCCTCAGGAGGGTAAGCTTCAATGGCTTGAGACTTGGTTGGTGATATGGCTCAAAATCATACTCGATGGCGTAGATGTATTCGCTCTGTGTAATATGCCAGATCGATTAAATCCTCATGTTACTATTCTTTCTTCTGTATACTGATGCTCATTATGGCTTTTCCCTACGCTTGTGAGATGTATGGAGTGTGGTGACGTGAACCACCATACTTGTTTTTGCACATTTCTATGTTGAAATTTAGTCAGTTAATCAATAGTGCTACAATTTTTCTGGTAATTTATTGATTTGAATAATCAAAACCATCATTTAGTATGAATAAATAATAAGGTAGCTCAGTGAGTATGTTTGATTTCACATACTGATCATTTTAATAGGTTGTTCAAATTCCGGTCACTGTAATCCAGTTTGAACCAAGTATTACTGCTTAAATGTCCAGATTAATTAGTTACTGTTTTACAAGAGTTCCTTTCTAAACTTTCACGAAGTTTAGATATACACAGTTTTAATACTTCTGTAATTCTCATGAAGGTAAAGTGCTTCATCGATTATTTACCCCCCCCCCCTCTAATGCGACTTGGTGCTGCCGAGGGTGGATAGACTGCGGTCTTTCTCTCGAAATGCTGTCATGTGTCTATGTGTTCATAGCCTATTCGCTGCCTTAACGCGATAGAAAATTCGAGCGTCTGGCGCTTACAGCTGGACTTGTGGAAATGCTGGTTTTCCTCGAAGGGCTGAAAAGCCTGATTCAAAGTCCTATAGTGTATGAGTCTGTTTTGGACACTGGCAAACATGGGAATGCAGCTCCTGACGCTTCTCCACTGCCTATTGAATTAGATTTCAAGTCATAAAGTGGTCCCTCGCTTCGTTCTGGGTGTCCGGGCAGTATCCTAGCCCTCACACAAATTATGCGATTTTGTGTGGCGCATCCCTTCGTGCCGATAATTTACGAAGTTTAAGTCATAGTAACAATGACAATGATACTAATAATTCTATTGTCACCTTTTGAATCAGACAACTTAATCCAATCGAAGTTCACTTATAACAGTTTGAAAAAGTTTGGGCACTTGGTATATGTTTTCCTTCATTGGGAAATACAAAAAAACCTTTATTATAACTTAATCCACTGTTTTAAATAGTTAATAGTAATTAGTAATCCTCTTTTATTCTTATTATATTAATGATATAATCCTATTTATTTTCAATTTATATTTAGGCTCAACAGATGCTGCGTGTTTTTCTATTCATGGTACTAATGATGTGGTGACTGCTGCTCTTCATATCATTGCTGGTAAGTGATGGTTTATAACTGCGTAGGTTTCATTCTCATCCTAGACAACATTTTCAGTGAGTGTTTGGAATTCACCGTGATTGAAATAACCGTTTTCACTGCTGATTTTGATTGTGATTGGTGTTGTCGGCTAGAGATTTTCTTTACATCTCTACATTCACCTGAATTGATATTCATCTTTTCATTGACCTGACAAGCATTATTGATTTATTGATTGTGTAACTTATTCTATGTTGATTGATTAAAATTTGATCTGCATTCACATGTTTGTTTGTTATTTTTCTCATTAAAGAAGAATTACAATAGCTCACTTCACTTTGAAGTTACTAATAAAAGTGTTATCTAGAATGATAAGGTAAGTTGTTTCTCAGTTAAAAACCTTCAGGTTAGTGGATTAGACAGATTATATTGATGAACTGGTTATTATCATCAAAACCGATTGAACGTTGATTGAAACTAAAATGTTATATTGTGTACTTGATTTCTAAAGAGTATTCTTCAAATCGTAGATCCAGCTCAATTATTCTCAATTAAATACTTTTAAAATTATGTTTAATAGCGCGAACATAAAATAATGCAAGACAAAGAATCATTCTAATATTTGATACATTTATTTCCCTTTATGCGTCGGTGGTACAATGGTTAGGACTCTCGCCAACCATGCACATGGTCCGAAGTTCGATCCCCTGCCGACGCACACCTGATATCTATGGTTAGCCTGCGAAATTTGGGCTACGATATCACATGCTAAAATTCCATACTTCTACTGAAAATACGGTGTGGAATCAAGCTGTAATCAAAAATAAAAAAAAGAATTTGGATAAAGCAAGAACAGTAATTTGTGCAAAATAAAATGATACTACCATTTATTTCGTCGGCTTTTCATCAGCTGCTTACAGCCCAAAGGCATTAAGTTTATGTACAGATACAAGTTTAACATACTTAAACAGAGAGTTCATTTTTGAACAAAAAATCAATATGGTATTAGATGGTTGGAGGCAATCGGCAGGAAGCCTTGGACCTAGGATTCTTGCTAGTTGGCACTCGTCAGCAAGGCGTATCAAATCGATGTGCACCGTGATGGCGAGCTGGCTAGAATGGTGGTCACATTACAACCTGACTGATAGAATTCAGTCTATACCAATCAGAGGACTAGACGCATCACACTAGTTACTAGTGTCAAATCAAAAAATCAATATACTCATGAATAATCCTCATCCAGACATTGATGAAAACAAAACACGTAGTTCAGCGAAGAGTTTTCTGTCGGCGGTGAATTCATTCACTTAGCTGTACAATCACGATTATATATACTTATTTTTATGTGTGTATACATTAGGTTTGCCCAATAAGAATAAAAATAAGTTAGAGTTATTGTTGTCAAGACATTTCAAAAAATGTGATGAGTAATCAAACTGTAATTGAGGGGGGGGTCAAGAATACTATCCTGCATGGCTGGAAAAAGGTAGTGGCTGCATAAGAAGTACGATAACCGAACATCTCGTCACCACTGGTCATTCTGTTATCTCAACAAACGCCTCCTTCAAAGTAATCTACAAAGTGGAGAACAGTCTACCAAAGGCAGTACGCTTTCGTCTCCTTTGTATTGCTGAAACCTTAGTCATTCAGTTGGAGAAATCAGAGTTATGTATACAAAAGAAAATCATTCAACCACTTCTAATATCATGGTAACAATCATGTTGACTTCTACTGACTTGATGTTTGTGTGCTTTTCGTTTTTTTCTAACTCCTTTTAACATTTGTAATTTTAGAAGTTTTACATATTTCCGTATATTCCTTTGTTTCTATGTGCATCCTAATCTCAGCTCACTCATTAAACTATTCATCTTATCACGTAACTGTATTACGCTTATTCAATAATTTCTTTTATGTGCCACTAAATATGTTTTTTTCACAACACGTCACCACCACCCTCTTATCAATCTTCACCCCCACCTTAGCTACACCTTGATTACTCATCACATTTATGAAATGTCTTGACAACGATAACCTTAACTTATTTTTATTCTTACAGGACAAACTTAATGTGCACACACACATAAGTATAAATGATTGGGATTGTACAGCTAGGTGAATGAATTCGCCGAGAAATCAACATATACATACAGTGCTAATAACAATAATAGTCACTTTATCCCAAATAATAATAGTCATACACAATGTAGTTTTTAGCTTTACGTAATAGAATAAAAGAGAGGTTAAAAACATCCAGTTATCCCGGCGAGGAAAGACTGATAACCGCTTCTTTCTGAACGCATAAATCGGGTTTCAGGCGCTTCATGGAGATTGCTTTAATATAGATATTGATTAATTTGTTGAATCAAGCTAGAAGGAATTCACTCTAGTATTAGAATTATGCTGAACCAGGCGAAGTATCTCAAAGAGCTTTATTTTCTTCATACACTATTAAGGAATTACTTATACTAACAATCGTAGATATTGCGATTTCTTCTGAACATTTGTCTATATAGATAGTATTCATAATCATTTCAGTGTTTATGAAGTCGTAACCAAAAGGGCTTAGGGATTACTTAGGGATGTTGGACATAATTCTGTCATCTATTACAGCATGTTATTTGCTAATCACTCCATATCCCCATCTTAACTTAGGCGTATCAATTGTAATTAGGCATACACTTCCTCACGTGTAGCTGATGCAGTTTTCATTTTCAGCTGCCATGTTTTTTCTGTTCATTAAGTTTTTTTCTATTCCTTTACATTCCCAGTGGAACATACATAGGGCTTCAAGCAAGAGGCTTGAATTTTTGGTAGCAGTGGTATTTTATTTTTACGAGATGGGATTGTTAGCCTCATGGTCGACCTACCCTCTTTACCAGTCTTATTACTAGCTTAGTAAAGTAAAGGAGTGCGTTGGTTGGGAATCGAATCCCGAACCACCTGCGTGGTTGGTGAGCTTTCTACCGCTGTACCACCGACATACCGTTCACTAAATTAGGTTTAAAATATTTTTCGTGTATGGACTTGAATTCTTATGGATTTCATTTACATATCTCATGGTAGATTGTTTATTTAATTCAAAGAAGTTGATTGTTTTTTTTGTATGCGGCGTCTACGATTGCTGTTGATTGTATGGAGGATTTCATCATGAGCTGACATTAGTTAGAGAACCACTGGAAAACCTGGGAGTACTGGACAGCTGTTTCGTACTCCCAGGTTTTCCAGTGGTTCTCTAACTGATATCAGCTCATGATGAAATCCTCCATACAATCAAACAAAAATCCCTATAAAACCAATACTTGAAGATTGCTGTTGAGCTTATAAAATCTGGTTTTTAAGCCTTTTTCACGTGTCGATTTTTCACTTCTGTTGATATAATTCGTCTTATTTCAATCAATGTTTTCTCTAATGTTAAATTCCTATTGATGCAAAGTGCGATACATTAGACTGGTGCTCAGTTATAGTAGTTTTTCTATTGTTTGTAGCTGTCCGTGTTTTTGGTGTTAATTAGTCGATATAGTACACATGTTTGCATATATACGCTGAAATGAAGTACCATTTGATCTGAAATTGTAATATATATATGCTGTAAAGAACTAGTTTAGTCTGATATATATGGATATTTTCAAAGTATTATCTACAAGTACACATTTTTGTTACCTATTTTTTTCTTTTCAAAATAGGTGATGATATTGGTTTAGATGTGGTTAGTGTTCATGCAGGTGGAAATGGCGCCTTTATACGTTATGCACTGACAATGCTAGGATATGGATTTCATGCGGATCTTTTACGTAATGATGACAAATTACGTTGGATGGGTCCACACAGATATGATTATTCAGGTAAACGACAAATAGATTTATCAGTGTTGTACATATACACATCTAAGCCTCTCTGCTTATTATTATTATTATTATTTTTGTTATTATTAATAATATTATCATTGCTATTATTAAAATGAAACAGCGCAGTGTATCATTAACTGATCCGAATTCATGCTAATTCAATTCATTCCTAACGATTGATACTATAAAAATAAAAACAAACAAACGCAATACGTTCAATGTAAGCCGGTGTGGGGAGGCATTAAAGAATGACAAAAATGAGGATAGGGTGCACTGGTCATATCGTAAATATATCCATGGAATGCGATAGATAGCCATAAATATGGAATGATTACATCCATGATGACTTTATGGAAGGCCAAGTTAAATGCACAGAATGAATTTGCTTCTTCACACACATGGGTTAAAGTTGCTCCTATTGATTTTTACAACTTCAGCTACGGTTAGGAGACACACATACAAAATGATCTGATCATATATTTTTGGCGGCATCCATATAATATAATGATAATAATAGTGGGGCTGTCTTGTGAGCTTCATATATGCCGGTCATTTGTGAACAATAAATCTAGCTTGTCGTCTAGTCTAGTTGCAAAACTGACAATATTTTTATGACCCAGTGATGTAAGGCGATTGCAGTTGCTAGACTAGCTTTCGGTATGTGCTAAAGTTGTTTCAATAAACAAAATAGTCACTTTAATTTTCTCCTCTGTTTTCTCATTGTTGTTGCTGATTATTTTTAGGCTTTAAAACATTCCTTCAGCATGCATCTTATTACGGTGAAGTATCTTTTCTGCCGTGTTCTGATCCTAACAATAAGTCATCCAATGGAACAGTTTGTTATAGTGGGTAAGTTGAATTTATTCGAATAATTCATATTACGGCAAAGTTCAACAATAGCGTCCCAAGGATGCGAACGCACGAGTGATGTTCAGCTGACCAATCATAAAAATGAGGAATTTTGCACAAAATTGCACGAGAACACCGTAAACAGGGTATCTTTCTCTAACATGACTTAAAAATACGTCCCACTAATAATGAGGAGTATTAATTGCTAAGTTAGACTAATTTCCGTACATATATTCACGGAGATGAAAAAAGATGAGCTGTTTTTGTGAATCGTTTATCTTTCGTATCCTATTGTGCGGTCTTCCCCAAAAGCACCCAGTTGAATTACTACGGTTTCCAGTAAGAGGATCGACGATTACTTACCAGAAATATGTGCATAATTAAACAAATAAAAATTATTATTATTGTTGCTTTGCGTTACTAGTGGAACATAGGGCTTCAACTGCACGTCTCCACTTGCCACTTCTGTCTTCTGCTCTACTTTTCACCTGCATCCATGTTAGTCCATACTCTTTCAACTCCTCTTCACACGATCTCCTCCATATCACCCTTGCGCCAACGACACACTCACCGCTTCCCTTTCGGCCTGGTTCCACTCGAGCGATGGCCTGACGCGCGCGCAATGTCACCCAGTGGCATCCTCAGCTAGCGAGTGTCCAATCCATCTCCACTTTCTCCTGCATCTTTATTGGTTGGCGATTGGTTCTTGTTTTGTTTGTTTGTTCCCATAGTTTCTTGTTGGTGGTGATTCTTTCCGGCCCGGCCATGTGACTGATCTTCAGCATAGAGCGAAGACAGTTGTTGGTTGATGAAGGTCTGCTACAGGCTGTTGGAAATATTCTTTGTAACCCGCCCGCCAAGTTTCTGATCCGTATAGAAGATCTGACTGACTTGATGTTTGTATTGAAAATCCGACTGAATTTTGTTGTTGATGCTGGCTGAGTGACGAAGATTTCCAGATTGGTTTCAGGTTGATGAATGTGTTTCTCGCCTGCCTTCCCGATTCTCGCTCGATTTGACATCCTCGTCCGTTCTATCTGCCTGTAGTTGAGGTAATGTTCCCTAGATAAGTGAATGAAGTAACCTCTTTCAAATCCCTCCCTTTGATGGTGATTGGCGCTGGATGTTCCTGCTGTTGTTGTTGTTGGTTGGTTATTTTCATAACCTCCGTCTTGTCTATGTTCACTTGGAGTCCTATCTTCGCCGACTGCTTCTTCGACCAGTTTGTCGGTTTTCGCTTGTAAGTCTTCGATTTTGTGTGACATCAAACATAAATCATTCACACGCGAAATCCAGGTCTTCTGGGTTCTTCACGTTGGTCCAGTCCAGGATATCCTTGTCTTCTCGTTTCCCACAGTCTGACGCATAATCCAGTCAGTCCACCACAATTAGGAATATCATTGGTGATAATAAGCACTCTTGTCTGACTCCAGTGTTTACTCCAAACGCCTCGCTGAGTTTTCCGTTGTGGATCACTTGACATGGGCCGACGTTGTCGTACAGCTGTTGAATAAGCTTGATGAATATTTGGGGTACGCCGTAGTACTCGAGTAATTTCCAAATGACTTCGCGGTCAACGCTGTCGAAGGTCTTCTCAAAGTCAATAAAGTTGAGGTAGAGGTTTGATTGGCATTCCATACTTTGTTCTGTGATGATGATGCGTAGAATTACAATTTGGTCAGAACATGATTTGCCTTTAGTTAATCCAGCTTGTTGTGGTCGGAGTTCTGTATCCAGTGCGCCCTTTATTCTCTCCAGGATGATGCGACCCAGAATTTTACTTTGCGTCGACAGGAGCATGATTCCTCGCCAGTTCTTGCAGAGTATGGCGTAAGCCGCCCTTCTTTGGTACTTTCACGAGGTAACCTCTCCTCCAGTCAGTAGGTACCTTTTCCTCCTTCCAGACCTTTTGCAATAATGGAGTCAGCATATCTGCTGTCGTCTCTGGGTCCGCTTTCAGTGCTTCAGGGGGTATTCCATCTGGTCCAGCTGCTTTTCCAGCTTTCAGAAAATAAAAATAAATGACATCAATTCTGAATTTATCCCAAATCGTAACCCTAACATCAATCCTAACCCCAATTACAACCCGTATCCTAACCCTAATTATGACCCTAACCCTAACCCCAATACTTACCTTAACCTCTCTAATCCTAACTCTAACAAGATATTAACACAATGTCCAGACAGTACTTAAAAACGTAATCTGGATGAAATTTGCTCCTTAGTTGGTGAGTAGGGTTGATATTTCAGTTATGATAATGACTGGTGCTGTTAGCCAACAACTAGCATATGCGTTGAAGGTCATTGGAGTGTTCGCACTTCTTGGACGCCATTGTTGAACTTCGCCTGCATAACTATTCATAATTACCCGCATACTTCATACACATCGTTGGTGTTTCCTAAAAGTGAGACTTGCTTATACATGTCTACGCATATCACTGATCAGATTTCAGATTGACAAGTCTCTTCATAGTGTAATGTGTAAACTCTGTGCATTGTGTGTTAGCTGTGGAGACAACGGGAAGTATGTTATTAGGAGTTGTAACTTGATCTCTTTTGTTTTAAAGAGCATTTCTGCCAACCTTCCTCCCTTAGAAACATTGAATATTTACTTAAGGTTTTGAGCTCTGCTGAACGTTTTAGTCGAGGATGAATTCATTTCTGTCTATTATATATTCGTGCATATTACATCGTGTTTCCAATGGTTCAAGCGTTTTTGTTGTCTTTTTCTCCTTTTTACACAGATGTTCTGTTTGCAATTCAGATGTGTCTGGAAAACTAGTGGTTGATGTGGACACTCTAGCTGTCAACTGTTCACATACTAAATCTACTGATGTAACTGTCACTAATGAGTGTAATTATCACTTACCCAATAAATCATCCTTACATAGTGCTCGTAGTAATAGCGATCTATCCAGTACATCGGTTAGTTTAGAGAATAGTCTACAAAGTATTACATATTCACAAGCAATTATTGATCACTCATCAATGGATTCTGATCTAGGCCAAAGTATATCATCAACAAGTGATAATCGTCCAATCCGTGAAATACCTCAATCTGATTTACAGTGCAGTGAGTTGAATTTCTCTACCCGTTTAGTTTGAATGATTGCTTCTTTTGTATGCAGCAATACTATTTACAATACTGATAATGTTTGTCTGTCGTTTTGGTATCTATTCTATTGACTGTTAATATGTATTTCATTGAAAAGTTAGTGAAGTGTTGAAGATGTTATCAAAGCTTGCGATAAGACTTCCACGACAAAATCGCAAAGGTTAGAGGATATCAAACAACTTTTTTTCTCATTTTGAGATGTATATCCTTCATTTCTAGATGTAATTTAGTTGATGCCGGAAAGCAGTAACATTCTGGGATGCGGACTTTGCCCTTTTTGGCACACGCTAGCTAGATGTACTTGCATCCTCAGTGAATGATGGTGTCCCCACTGAGACGATGTCACCACTGGACACACTGTCTTCAGACGTCGTTGAAGCATCCGTACTGCAGATGAACATTTCAAAAGAAACGGAGTATTTTGGTCTGAAACAATCAATCAGCGGGATTGTTATTTTTTCCTTTGATTCCTAGAGGAACATAGGGCTTCAGCCGCACGTCTCCATTGCATTCGGTTCTCTGCTAGAGTTTTCACCTGGCTCCAAGTCTGCCCACATGTTTTCATCTCCTCTACATATGACCTCCTCCAAGTCACCCTTGGACGACCAACTCTGCTTTTCTTTCGGGTTCCACTCAAGAGCTTGTCTAGTGATATCACTTGATCGTTTCCTCAGAGTATGGCCAATCCATCTCCATTTCTTCCTGCCTATTTGTTTCACAATCGGTTCCTGCTGTGTTGGTTCGCTCATTCCAAGACATCCCTGTTGCTGATCTTTTCTGGCCGGCCATATGATCTTGAGTATTGAGCGAAGACAGCTAGCTGTTGATGAAGGCCTGTAGTTTGTTTGAGATGCTCTTTATGACGCGCTGGCCAAGTCTCTGATCCGTATAGTGAGTAGCACTGACTTCACATTGGAGTTGAAAATCCGGATGTTATTTTTGATGGTGAGTGCTGTTGACCTACACACAGACTTGGGAGTAATGAAAGCTTGTCTTACTTTCCCGATCCTCGCTGCTTTGATATCCTCGTCAGTTCATTCGCCTGTAGTTGAAACTATGCTTCCCAGGTGGCTGGTAAAGGAGGTTGCTTCTTTCAGATTTCTCCCATTTATGCTGATGGTTCTCTGTTGTTGTTTTTACTGTTGCTGTTGTCCAGGAATCTTCATCACCTATCCCTGTTTTCACTATGTTCACCTGTAGTGAAGTTCTATCTTTGATGCTTCTTCTTCTGCCAACTTGTTGCTTTTCACTTGCATATCTTCCAGTTTGTGGGAAATCAATCAACGGGAAGCACAAATTAACTTAAACAGATAATATTCTCACACTAGTAGAATATAATTTCTTCTCTTTACAGAAAAAGAATACTAGAAAATGTGTTACTTGAAGGTTAATTTGTCCGATGTGTAACAAGTCTTCTCCGTATTGATGGGAAAACGTGATTACTTCCTTCTTTAGACTTCAAAACAGTATGTATCTGCGCTAAATAAATGTTTGTTTTCGTGACACTCATGCGTCACAAAAAGCATTTCAGACAGTCTTTAGACTTTCATCAACAGCTACTTTCTCTTGGTGCGCGAGATCATATTGTCTGGAAAAATTGGCAACAAGAAGCTCTGGCAACGAACCAGACAAGAACCTTATTTTCCAACAAGTTTGCAGAAAGAAATGAGGGATAGATTGGATATACACTGAGAAGACCATTGAGTGACGTCACACGCCAGGCCTGCCATCAAGTGGAAAACGAAGATTGTTGTTATTAGATGGTTGGAGACAATCGACAGGAAGCCTTGGACCTAGCTTTCGTGCTAGTTGGCACTCATCAGCAAGGCGTCTCTGACTGCAGCACTGGGTGACGCGGGTTCGAATCTCAGAAGGGACATGAATTCCTTTGAGGGTTCAGATACGCCTTGCTGATGAGTACCAACTAGCACGAAACCTAGGTCGAAAGCTTCCTTTGGGCGATTGTCTCCAACCATCTAATATCATCGAATCAATGTGCACCGTGATGAAGAGCTACCTAGAATGGTGGCCACATTGCAAAACCTGACTGATAGAATTCAGTCTGTACCAAAGAAAGGACTAGACACATCACACTAGTCCAATCGAAAAACGGAAAACCACGAGTTAGGCATTTAAGAATGATTTAGAAAGCAGAGGACACGAAGTTCAGTAAAGATATCTTTTCGATGATTTCATTTTCAAAAGCTGTTCAATCTCATTTAAATACATAAATTTTGCATAGATACAATTCTCATTTGATTCCACATAATTATGAGGGCGAATAAAAGGTGACAATTATTTTACAACTTGATCTAGTTTACGAGAGGCTTAAAAAACAAAATTACACAAGATTAGTACGAATTACAGGTGTGAACATATAATGAGCATGGAAATAAATTCAAATAATAATTTTCAATTTGATTTGGAAGTTAGGAGGTGTAAATATAGATTACAAGAGGCTTAGATACAAAAATTACACAGGATTAGAATATAACTGTCAAATAGTTATTTTAAACGAATTACAAATGTGAGCAGAAAGAGTATGGAACAAACTTAAAATAACTGTTCTTATAACTGAAAAAAGTGGGATGAATTGAATAAAGACAAAGAGAGAAAAATCACACACACACACAACGAACAAAAAAAACAAATAACCGAAGGCTAAGGGAACCTACCGAACTAGGTTCATGGTAGTTGTAAAGGTTGGAATAGGTTTCTTTTGAACACACACACCAGGCTTTTCAATGCATATTGCAGTGCAAAGAAGTCGGAAACATACTACCTTTGGTAGGTTTCTGTTGGCTTTGTAAATGACTTTGAATGAATCAGTTGAGATACTGTGTTAGGTGTTTATCAGATATTCAATTTTGGCAATTCTGACTGAACCTTTGGCTCCTCTTTGCATCCATGCTGGGTAATGTTCTCTAACATATTTTGTTTGAAAGGACGCGTATACAACGACCTATGTACTTAGCTCCACACGAGTAAGTGAACTGGTATATACACACATTAGGAATGACATGGAGGGGGGGTCGTGCGTGGAGGAAGTGATAGCTTATGTACATTCGTGGAGTCAGTTAAGAAGGACTGCAGAGAACAGTATGGAATAGGGATGGACTGTTGAAGTCCTATGTTCCATTCGGAATCCAAAGGGAATAATTATAAGTAAATGTTTATTTAGGTGACTCTTATTCTCAGAACTTACTATATATATATACCAATTCGTGATTTAGCGCGACCCCAACCAATGTCGTCGGTGGGACACATGCCATCTGGTTGGACCTCACTGGTCACGACTTCTCACTAGAACTCCAGGAAACTCCATCTTGTAGCTATTCACTAGCGAGCAGCAGATTAATTTTCTATAGTTTGGTTTGTAAGGCTTAGTTATATTTTTACGAGTTGATCACGGATTGATATAAGTTAGAGAACCATTGGAACACCTTCAGGGAGTACTGAACAGCTGCCGTTTCATCCTAGTTTGGGAATCATCGGCAGCACACACCCACTGGTTGGGGTCGCGCTAAATCACGAATCGGTAGAAGTTAGAATTCATGAGCCATTGAATTGGGTCCCAGTGGCTGAATGGTATATGAGCCAGCTTGCCGTGTAACTGGAAGGTCCTGGGTTCGAATCCCAGTGAGTGCGTACTGCCGATGATTCCCACACTGGGATGAAACAGCTGTCCAGTACTCCCTGAAGGTTTTCCAATGGTTCTCTAACTGATATCAATCCGTGATCAACTCGTAAAAACATAACTAACCCTTACAAACCAAACTATATATATATATATATATATATATATATATATAGTAATTAGGGTGAGGCTTAAAATTGTATGCTCATAATGTGTGTACGTTTATAGTGCGTACCTCAGTTACGCGTTACACTGTTAACTTTCATATAGAATGGGTGTAATTCACAGTTTATTATTAGCATATTTATACTGATTGACATACTTCCTACCTACTTTATGTTTTAAACATACCATAAACACAGTGGGTTATGCAGCAATAAGTGTATTAATAAAAATAAATACAAAAGTGTTCTCCAAGTGTGAGGAGAGTAATAATGTGATGTAAGTTGATAGTTAACTAACTGATGAAATAGTAGGGTGTTATAAATAATTATAAATGCTTTTATAATACTCATGTAGCTTCATCACACAGCTATACCCTTTTTGATTGACATAAAACCTCTTCAACACTTTTATTTTAGTTACTCTTTTACCTTTTAGATAAACATTCCATTGGTGATGATACATCAAATCCACAGAAAAATACTTCCAAAGTTAAAATTCAATCTCTAGACTCTAACTTATTGATGAAGTGTACTCCAAAAGGACTAAATGAAGGTTGGCATACTATTCGTAGTAATTTTCTTGCTGTGAATGCTTGTATTCAAAGTTGTCGATGTGCACGAGCTGTTTGTGGTCCTGCGCCTTGGGCACATCTAGGCGATGGTTGTCTTGATTTAATTCTAGTTCGAAAGTGTTCACAGCTTGAATTCTTACGATATCTTATGCGTATAGCTAAAAATCGTCATATGACACCAGAAGAGAATCCTTTCAATTTTCCTTTTATTACGGTTCAAAAAGTTCGTGCTTTTCGTTTTGTTGCCTATAATAATCATTCGACCTATGTGGACGACAGTGTTGAAAAACATTTGAATGATAGACAAAATGTTGTTATTGATTGTGGAAAAGCACACAATGATGAATTGAAGTCAACCACTGATGATTCATTTACTCAACCTCAACCATTACCTCATCACTCACACTTGTGTATAAAAAATTCATCCTGTACGCATAAATCTTCCAGTCAAAGTTATAAAAAAACATCTCTTTGGTGTTGTGATGGTGAATTAATTCAAAAATCAAATATAATTTGTTTGTAAGTTTTAAAAATTTCAATTTCAAAATTTGATTATTGTAAAAATAATAGTCTTCATGTGGAGTGTTTTATCTATGCACCCGTTTTGTATTCTGTCGGAAATTTCCTTAGCACTTACAATCGATAGTATTCCCGTTTTTCTATCGATCATCAAAAGATGAAAGATTCTCGGTCACTAGATTGTGATTCATTCATTATTTAATATCATCCAAGGTGTGGAGTTGTGGCTTGTTGGTCTAGGTTGACCAACTGATTTCGGTTACACAAAAGTGGAACAGTTCCAGTTTTACACACTCCATGTAGCACACAAAGTGGAGAAAAGATTCAAAAGAACTACAATATAAAACAAAATAACTGAGCAAAGAATATACTTTTTGATAAATTCCTCTTCTGGTTCTACAATTATATGCATATATGTTTATATACATAGAATATTCTAGATTAGTAGTCAATAACAATATTAGTGTTTTTAAATAACATCGACTTGTAAAGTATGATCAATGCAATTAAAGTTCATTAAAGGTGCTTAAATCATAATAATAAAGATATATTAGCAAATAGAATATCAACTAAGATTAGGAAAATTCCACAAAAATTGAGGATCATTCCAAGCAAGATGGCCAAGGTAATGATAATGTCTGAACTAACTTCTTTTAGATGCACAAATTAGGCTTGTTAATATGGATCCTCACAGCCTCAGCAATATTTAGTAGTCGAACTCTTAAGGCAAAATTGAGATTCGCAGATATGCGGTAAATGATCCTGAAAGCATGGTTAACGTCAATCTTGTGTTCTGTCTCCACAAGATGAAACAGAATAGCGCTGCGAATAAATTTTGTTTGTCCTTTGCTTAACCACGCAGGGTGATGTTCGGAAATTCGAAGAGAAACATGCCTAATTGTACGGCCTATGTAACTGGCTCTACAGGAGCAGTCAAACTGGTAGATACACATGGAAGAGGCGAAATTAGGCAGTTTAGCTTTTACTCCCGAACGCAAAAGAGGAGTGGTTTTAAAGATACAACGGAATTCAGCAACAGGGAATGCTCTTTTTACCGCATTTCTTATGAGCTGTGTTAGTATCTCACTGATGTCCCCAAGGAACTGCATTTGTCAGAAGAAGGCCTTTTTTGAAACTGTCGGTAACTTGGGTTGCTTTGATTTTAGATTCATATTCTTATCGATAAACTTTTCAAAATAACCATTCTCACTTAGCAACCGTTTAATATTATTAAGTTCCTCATCAAGACATTCATCCGAGAGAATTGCTCTTGCTCTGTGAACCAAGCACTTTATCAGATTGCGTTTGTATTTCAAGGGCACGAAGCTGAGAAAATGAGTATGCTGACCCGTTGATGTAGATTTTCTATATACACTTCTTCTTATTGTGCCATCCTCTTTTCTGGTCGTAAGGATGTCTAGAAATGAAATACTAGAGTCTTCTTCTTTTTCAATAGTAAAATTTATTGCAGGATGAACCTTGTTAAATTTATCCAGGATGCTCTTTGCTTCCTTCTTGTTTTTCATAATCAAAAATGTATCAATCATGTACCGACAGTAGAATTCGAGTCCATTAATTCCATCCCATTTTCTAGTTTCACAAGTAAAATGTAGACTAGAATGGGTCCTAGTGGTGACCCCATTGACACACCGTCGATTCGTCTATATAGTTCCTTGTTCTCCAGTAAGCAGAAATCTATGAGAGAAAGAATGGTAACATGGTAAAACAATAAGGTTTAATCGGTCTGTGAGACCGCAAAGAGTGATTGCATCTACATCAACCATTGTAACGAGTCATATCACTAATTATCTCCAGGTATATTGGTTCTCAGCATACTGAGAACCCCAGCCAAAGCAGTCTACACCGCTATACGTGACTCGAACTGTCAAAGACTTCATAGATGGATTGCTAGTTTTGGTTTGACCACCTGTAGCTCTTTTCCAACCTGATCCTATATTAGCTAACCCATAGAGGAAGGAGATGGCTAGGTTTGCGTAACACATGTCCTAGCCATCTTAAACGATGTGGTTGTACAACCTAGTCGATTGACTTTCTTTGCCTAACTTCAGTAATACTCACCCTATTATATAGCCTAACATGGAGATAGAACGCAAATTTATGAACAAAGACAACTAGCCTTTATATTATCTTCAACTTTCAGTGACCATATCTCACAGCCATAAAGGAGAACGGAGTGTAATGCTGTGCAGTACACTTGTCCTGTAATCGATAGTTGGCTATCACGTCTACACCATGGATGATGTAAGTTGGCAGTTAGTCTAGGTACTCGGCCGTCAATCACTGGTTTACGGATTCGAATCCCACCCCACTTATGGTGAGGTTTGGGAAGTTGGTACAGTATGGCACCAAGAAAGATGCACCAAACAATATTAGTAAAACAACATAGATCAAAAGTAAAAAAGAAAGAAAAGAAAAATATATATAAGTAAAGAACGGATAAAGAACTTCATCTGGAAGGAAAACACTCATGCTTAACAAGTTCAAACAGTATTCGTTAACTATCATCGGGAAGGGAAGCATGAAGGAAATTCCAACACGTTCGCCATTGATTACGATTCTTGGCTATATCCGATAACGTTTCGAGCCATCGATTTGAGCTATCTCTCGGACCCCAACCAGGGAGTCGTGACACACCAACCGATGCTAATCTAGCACAAAAATCCTTCATCCCACGACGCCACGTCATGGACTGACCACCTCTCCGCCTTTTCCATCCCGTCCCAGGGCTAGCGAACAGAGACCTGTACGGAAGCCTCTGGGGTGACATTCGCAGCACATATCCAAGCCACCGGAGCCGGTGTTTCCAGATGACGACATTCAATGAATGGTGATCTCCACTGTATTCAAACACACGCCGCCGAACCTCAGAATTACTCATGCGACGATGCCATCGACCGCAAGCAATCCTGCGGAGACAGCGGTGATCGAACACGCAGAGTCGCCGCACATCCTCAGCTCGAAGAGGCCAGGTTTCACAGGTGTAAAGCAGCGCAGCCCGCACCGAAGCATTGTATACCCGACCTTTGAAAGCCAGGCTAACGTCGCGATGGCGCCATAGGTGGCTCAAGTTGATGTATGCCACCCTAGCCTTCATTATACGGTTGGAAATCTCATCCGTCACCCCTCCGCCAGCACTCACACAACTACCCGGTACACAAACTTATCAACAACTTAAAGCGGTTCACCCGCAAGAGTGAGTGCAGGTACAGGCTCCTGCCAATCTTGTAACAGTACTTTGCACTTAGACGGCGCAAAGTACCTACCATACTTACAGACACTGGGAAGTCGGGTAGTATCACTCGTCCTCACACAATATGTGTGGCTCACTGCCAACTCCATGGCATGATTAAGTAAGCTAAAGTATGGTAGTCTTGTACCCGATCATTCAAGCGAAATAAGATGAAACTACTCTTCAGCGGTTTTTTTGAAATTTTCAATGGATTTCCTAACGGATATTGGTTGTTGATAAAATTTATCTACATATCATTTCTGTTTTCTAACTTGAGTTTTAGTTTTACATTAAAATTATTACCAATAATTAGGTGACGTTAGTCAACAAGTAGTAGAGATTTTGAGGTTTAGGATGGGTAAACATAATTAAGGAATTTAAGATTAGTTGATGTATACAGCTTACCAATGAGCAGGACCCGACGGAATTATTCCGGAGGTGTTTAAATATGGGGGTGACATACTAGTTTGTAGATTAACTGAGGTACTAGGCAAAGTCTGGGAATCAGAGACAGTCCATCAGACTGGGGTAAGTCACTTATTATACCGATATTCAAGAAGGGAAACAAGTCCTCGTGTGATAATCATAGGGGGATCAGCCTAACGAACATAGTCTCTAAAATCCTAGGCTCAGTAATCATGCATAGACTAAGCAGAACTCGGGAGGAACAGACAAGGGAAAATCAAGCAGGCTTTAGACCAGGTAGAGGGTGCATAGATCATATCTTCACTCTTCGACAGATTCTAGAACATAGACACACTTTTCGGCGTCCAACAATTGTCATATTTCTTGACTTGAAGGCGGCCTTCGACTCCGTGGATCGAAAGGTACTATGGCAATGTCTGACTGTGAAGGGAGTGCCAAGAAAGTACATTGCACTAATCAAGGCACTCTATTCAAACTCACGTAGTCGTGTAAGGGCTTATGGGGAATTGTCATCTGAATTGGTAACAACCAGTGGTGTCCGACAGGGATGTCCACTTTCCCCATTTCTGTTTAACTTCATCATAGATATGCTAATGGAAGTATCCTTAACTGAACGTAGTGACTTAGGAATCGACTTGTTACCAGGGAATAATCTTATGGACTTAGAATATGCAGATGACATAGTCCTGTTAGGGGAGGATGCTGACAAAATGCAGAGTCTTCTGAACACCTTGAGCAGCAATCTTCGTATGTTTGGCATGCGATTCGCCCCTGCAAAATGTAAGATGCTGCTACAGGACTGGACACGTCAACCCTAACTTAGTGATAGGGAGTGAAGTGATAGAACATGTTGACCACTTCACCTACTTGGGAAGTTGTATTAGCACCAACGGACTGATTGGCGATGAAATCTCAGCACGGATCCGAAAAGCTCGAGCTGCTTTCGCTGACTTACACCATCTCTGGCGTAGGCGTGACATCCGGTTATCAACCAAGGGACGTGTGTACTGCTCATCAGTTCGCTCCGTCCTTCTCTATGGCTCTGAAACATGGCCAATACGCGTTGAAGACATGAAAAGGTTGACTGCTTTCGATCATAGATGTCTGCGATCTCTGTCTCACGTTAGGTGGTTTCACAAGATAAGTAATGTTGACGTTAGGCGTAGAGTGTTGGGCAAAGAGGGAAAATCAATCGACGAGGCTATAAAGTTACATAGACTAAGATGGCTAGGTCACGTGCTGCGCATGCCTAACCACCGCCTCCCCCGACGGGCATTGCTAGCTGATATAGGTTCAGGTTGGAAAAGAGCCAGTGGTGGCCAAACAAAAACATGGCATCAATCCATGAAATCCTTGACAGTTAAACTGAGTCAGGTAGGGAGATGCAGACTCCCGGGTTGGGGCCCTCGGGACTCTAGGAATCAATGGCTGGAGACAATAGGTGACATGGCTCAAAATCGTTGTCAATGGCGCAGATGTATTCAGTCTCTGTAATCTTTCATATTCCTTTCTACCATTACCCATTCTGTTTCACTCTTATACTTGTCAAACTCTATTGATTCTCTTCACTCATCTTCTTGTCTACCTCTGTGTGCTATTTGGAACGTGGCAACTCGAACTGCTGCACTTCGGTGCCAAGTTCTATGTTGAATCCAGACAGACAGACCAATGAGCTATTGCATTATCAGTAATGCGTAAATTAATGATAACTAATAGGGAAACAGATGAATGAATTACACGAGAATATCAAGGTACAAGTAAGTTAATTGAATTAGCTAGAATAGTAATCACAATCAAATTACAATCTACTGCTAACTTCTACTAGTTAACTGTCTTGGGTGGTTTTTAATCAGTTATTCTCACCCCTTTTATACCTGAAAATCGATAATTCTTATTGGCTAGCATGACCACATGAGTGGCATAATTTTAGTATGGAACTATATTGTTAGAGTAGGACTGTTGTTGAGGAATATATTTCTATTCTCAACTTGCGTTTTCCTACTTTTTATTGATTATAATTAAATAAAACAGTCCTTGTGGAGTGTATTGACTAATTTTCAATAAACTCTGATATTGTTTTCACACGAGTTCTTGATTTATTCGTGGGTGAATCAAATTCTCATTATTTCTAAATAGTCTAGTCATTCAGTATTTTAGAAATATCTTAAAAGCGTCATTGTATAGTGACAATCTGTTTAATCTCTTTGCTGAATGAAATCGTATAGATTATATCGAAAATCAAACTAAATAATATATTTAATAGGGTAGTCTTCGCTTCAATGGGTTGATCGCTTACGAGATCTCAGCACCGATACATAAGGCTTGTTTCGCGTATGCCAACTTACGCCATCGCTGGTCGACTGCCTGTCGACTAAACGACGCGTGTACTGCTCATCAGTTCGCTCTGTCCTCCTTTTTAGCTGTGAGTGAGACATGACCATTGCAAGTGGAAGACATGAAAAGGCCGGCTAGCTGTCTTTGATCACTGGTGCTTGTGTTCTGTCTCCCGTGTGGTTTTGGTGGTATAATAGGGTGAGCGATATTTAGGTTAGGCATCGGTCGAGTGCTAGGTAAGGAGAGGAAATCAGTCGATGAGACTGTGAAGTTACACTGATTGAGGTGGTTGGGACATTCCATATTAGTTTGTTTATTAGATGTATTACACAGTGAAACAGTATTATTTACTGGATGACGTTTCGAACACAACTGTTTATAATCATATCAGTTATAATCACACGACTTCGAAACTTTCGTTTCATACTTTTCTCTATTCTTTCCTATTTGTCGTCGTAGGCGTAGTAGGATTTTCCAGATATCTGAGACAGGTGTTGAATCATTCCTATTACATGTATTTGCAGTTGATCCGGTAAAGAAAGCTTCTGTTATCAATCTCTCCATCCACCCTGTGACATTAGATTTTAAAACTGTCATCATATCCCATCCTATTGTATGGTTGTGTTGCTCATTAATCGCCTTCGTTGACGGGCGATGTTAGCTGACTGATATAGGGTTGATGGGGTTGGAAAAGAGGTAGTGGTGGTCGAACGAAAACATGGCGTCATCAGTGAATGAAATCCACAACAGTTAGTTTAAGCCAGCCGCCACGTAGTGAGGTGTAGACTGGCTTCCTGGTTGGAGTCCTCAGCATGGTGAAAGCCAATGATGGCTGGAGACAAAAAATCGTTCTTAATGGCGCAGATTCATTCACTCTTTGTGATATACAATATCCAGAAAAGGTCTATTGTTCTTCCATTTTACTACTTTTTTGCTTTCCCACTTCTGTTTGTAATCCGTGTTTTGAATCTCTGTTTACTGTTTTCTCTTGCTATGTGTGCTACAAGGAGGGAGTGTGGCAACTCGGACTTCTGCTTATCTGTGCAAAGTTCTATGCTGGAACTAGTCAGTTAGTCAGTCAGGGTGGTCATCTGACAACTAGGTATTTCTGTTTCATTTCTTGTATTCCAAGCGGAACATAAGGTTTCAACGTGTATCGTCTCAGTAGTGACGGTGATGTTTCTATAGGGTAGGGTTGACAACGTCACACTCAATCTCTCCTCTTTTCCGTGTCTACTATTGGCTAGTAAACTAAGCATGGAATCGAACCCCAACCACTTGCATCGCTGAAGAGCATTCTACCTTTAAACCGTAAACGTCTCCAGGATGAGGTAGACATAAATTATATTCTATTGTTTAGTAAAGACATGAAAGACTAAATTTATTCTGTTGTGAAATGTTTACTTTCTTCAAAGGAATAAAGTTTCAACTAATTTTATTGTTAAAAACAATAAAAATTTAGGCTAAAAAAACAAAAAAAACGAAATGACCTTTGTAGTTTGATTTCATCTATTCAACAAAATTGTGATAAACAATGAGCACACACACCATTAGGAGAACAAAACTATAGTTTTAATTAAATGATTAGGTATATAATAAATATTATGAAACCATGGTAACACGTTTAAAGTACACTTTATCTAAATAAAGTTTTATTTACATGTGAATTTAATTCAGAAAGTTTAATTCATCTAGTTTAGCTAATAATATTTTATTATATAAGAAAAACAATAACACTTTAAGACTTGAATTGTGATTAAATCTTTACTAACTCGTATATTTTCAAGTGTTGGTTTGTAAGGATTAGACTTGTTTATTACGAGTTTACGAGTTAATGGGCCATTGAATCGGGCCTCAGTGGCTGAATGGTATATGAGCTTACCTTGTAACTGGAAGGTCCTGGGTTCGAACCCGGCGGTGTGGTTGCGTACTACCGATGATTCCCAAAACTAAGATGAAACACCTACCCAGTACTCCAATACTTGTTTTCAATGGTTCCGTTGTCAAACTCGTAATAACACGTATATGCATAAAAATATGAATAAAATTATAAAATATCTTATTTCAATTGACTGACTAAGTTTTTAACGTAGAACTTCACACGACAGTTCAAGTCGTCCTACTCCATGTTGTAGAACGCAAAGGGTGAGAAAAAGAAGATTGAAAAGAACCAATAATAAGTAGAAATGTAGGCGAGAGAGAATAGTAACATGGGGAAAACACGAGGCTTTGGTGAGTATGGGAGATTATGAAGAATGAATACGTTTGAGCCATATCATCAATAGTTTTAAGCCACTGGATGGTCTTAGCATCCCGACGACCCCTACCATTCAGTCCTCACCTGTCTAAATAGCTCAAACCAACACTTCGTAGGTTGATGCCAAGTATCGATATGACCATCCTCATTTTGTGTCAGCTAAGACAGCTTGTCGAGGAAGCAGCTGGTTTGAAATATATATGCCTGTTGTATCCTAGCCATCTCAAACAGTGCAGCTGTATAACCTCATCAACTGACTATAGGGCTAACCTTAGTATTGTCTATAATCAAAGACAAGTGATCTTCGTATATCTTCCACTTTCAACGGTCTTGTCTCACAGCCATAATGAACGGTAGAGAGAATTCCTGCACAGTACACACGTCCTTTGATCAGTAGCTGTATATCACATCTACGCTAGAAACGAAGTGATTTATTCGTGCTGAGATTTCGTCAGTAATCAGTCCATTAAAGTTGATGCAAATAACCAAATAAGTGAAGCGGTCAACAGTGATATTCAACGCATTAATGATCTAAATTACGGGAATATAAGTAACAGATATAATAAGAAGCATGCTTAGTTAATACTACATATCTTATAAAACGATCAATCCAGAAGTGCATCAGTCGTGAATTGAATCCGGACCACATACAGAGTTGGTGAGCATTCAACCGTTGAAACACATGTTTATTTGTTATCTTTATTCCCTTCCCATGTTACCAATGACGATACTGAATAAGCACCATAACTATAATAATGTTTAGACACCTTTACCCATAGCTCAAAACCTCTATTTTTAATGACTACTCTTGTACTAATATTTCCTTTTTATTATCATCTAATGTCAACGTTTTTATAAGTCAAAAAGGTTGTCGTCGAATGTGTTGTGTATTTCTTTTTGCCTCATACTTAATACACACATAATGCATTACTACTGTATTGAATGACTTTACCATTCATTGTCTAATTATTTATTTATCTTGTATCATTTTTTTTTCACCAGTGTTCATCGGAAATTGATACGCTGTTTTGGTCGAGGTCCGGAAAACGATGCTTCAGCGGTAGGGAGTCACTTGAATATGATCTTAGAAAAGCAGGGATTTTATAAGCGAATATTTGAATCTATGGAAAAGGGGAACAATACATACGAATAGTGATTTATTTTGTTGCAATCCTTATACACATATCTCTTCTTTATATATGTGTATGTATCTTTCTTTTTTGATTTTATTCCCCTGTATTTCTTTCGTTTTCCACACTCCTACTATGTTTAGTTGTGAGTCACTGAGTATGTTTAAAGAAAATGTTCCTTGATTAAATATAGGCATGGTTTGCACCAATTACACTTCCTCTATTATCTCTTCATATATGTATACTTTTATGTACATATTCTTCAAATTGCTGTACTGTGATTTATTTTTTATGTTTCTTATATTCATGCGCATACATATTTATGTGCCTGAAATCTCCATGCCAGTCAGGTTTCTTAATTCAGTATGGAATTGTATATAGGTTAATACTATTTATTCCTGTATCTTTGTTAATCAATATTTATCGATTTAATCTGTATTCCGTACGTCATTATATACTTACAACTACTGAATTGTATGAATCTTCAAGTCTTAACTTGATATTTATCCTTATCAAAATATACATATCTAATAGTTGAAATTGGAATTCTAGAGCGCGGTTGGAAATCAGCCTTTATTGATATATCTTCAAGGATTGGTTTTGTAGGGATTTTGTTTGACTAGTTGGAAGATATCATTATGAGCTGACACCAGTGAACCATTGGAAAACCCTTCTGGGATTCCTGGACAGCTGTTTCGTCAGCCTAATTTTGGACTCTTCAATAGTACGCACCCACACCGCGAAGTTCGAACCCACGACCTCCTGGTGACAAAGCCAGCTAGCTCGTAGGCCATTAAGCCACTGGAACCCGATCCAATGACCAGTCCATGAATTCCGACATATGTCAATTCATGACAGCGTGACCACTTCGCAATCTCTTCTTCGATTAGTTACTACCTCGCCTTCAATCTGTTGTACCCTACTGGTCACGACTTCCCAATAGAACCCATGTTAACTGTCGGAATAGGGTCAGTCGCTAGTGAGTAGCACATCAATTTTCAAGCATTGGTTTTGTAGGGATTTTGATTGATTCGTTAGAGGATACCTAAACAATATGACTTGTGAATTCACAGATTATGAGGGCGTGTGAATTCTACGTTTACGGTTTCTGTCTTGTGGGGGGGGAGGGGTCACTTTAAAACAGATTGTGCGTTATTCTTCTTTGTAAATTATCTTTCCTATTGAAGATATTGTGCGTCAGTGGCATAGTGCTTAGGACGCTCGCCGACCATGTACAAGGTTCGGGGTTCGATCCCCGGCCGACACAGTCCTTCACCTCGCTAAGCCAGAAATAATGCTATTAAAGAGTAAATGTTGGGCATGAGCCTACCAACCCCATCCTGTAAAAGTAATCAGCACTGCTACAGAAACTTCAAGCTACTAGCTTGAAGCCCTATGTTCCACTGGGAACGTGAAGGAAAAAAATTGAAGATATTGCTAACTTATCCACTCAGAACTTTGTACATAAGTGCAACAGTTCAGTTTGTTACATTTCACACTTTCGATTAGTAAACCAACGTAGAGAAAACAGATCTAGTGAAACTACAATAGACACTATGAAGGATACTATAATCGCATGGAGTATAATGAATGCAATTGGGAACGTTTGTTTATTAGGTATGTTATCAAAAATCTGTAAGCATTGATTTTCTGAAAGTCGATAAAATTGCTGAATAGTACACATATCCCTTGATGGATAGCCGGATATCACATCTGTACCAAAGGTAATACAAGTTGGCAAATGCCTAGAGACTTCTGTATCCGCAGTGAGATTATGTTGTCAACCGGACAATTAGGGGCTCGTGAAACTTCTTAAGTAAACAAATGCATTAGTAAATTCGACCACTTTACTGCTTATCCTTAAAGTTGTAGTCAGTGTATTTCAGTCCTATGGCGCAATCTTACATTTATAGACAGGAATTTTTCATGAATCTTGCATTTGACAGGGGTACAGTAGTTCAGAAAACTTAATGTATCATATTCATTCAAAATTGATCAGCAGGAATATCCTCCTGTAACTAATTCATTCTTTGAACCATCTGATTCGACCAGTGTGATATCCATCAGTTTACCTATAATTAAATTAAATAGGAATGTCTGTCTTCGACATAGAACTTTGCACCATTGTGCGGCAGCTCAAGCCGCCACACTCCATGTAGCACACAAAGCAAGAGAAGAAAGTAGAAGAAATGCATAATAGAGACAGTAGACAGGGATATCAGACAAAGGAATAGTAATAACGAAGAACAATATAGTTTCATTGGGTCTTATAAGTCACAAGGAGTAGATGCACTTGCGCCATTGAGAGCGATTTTGAGCCATATCACCAATTGTTTCCAACCCGGAAGTCTACATCCTCCTACGTAGCCGGCTTAAACTAACTGTTGTGGATTTCATTGCCCGTCGAGGAAGGCGATAACTAGGCATATGTAACACATGTCCCAACCATCTCAGTCGATGTAATCTCACAGCCTTGTCGATTGATTTCCCCTCCTTACCTAACACTCGACGCCTAACCTCAATATTGCTCACCCTATTATACCACCTAAAACACACGGGATATAGAACGCAGGCATATGTGATTAAAGACAGTTAGCCTTTTCATGTCTTCTACTCGCAATGGCCATGTCTCACAACCATAATGGAGGGAGGTGCGGACTGCTGAGCGTTACACTAGCCCTTTGGTCGATACCCGGATATAACGTCTACGCCAGAGATGGCGTAAACTGGTATATGAGAAACTAGCCCTCTGTATCCGTGCTGAGATTTTGTCAACGATTAACAGGTTGATCTCTGAAGAAATAGGAATGATAACAGTAAACACCCATGACGAACACCACTGGTTATTGTCACTCGAGATGATAACTCTATATAACCTTTGGTATGAGTGGATTATTTCGAGTAGAGTACATGAATTCGCGTAATATTCTTTCAAAGCCAGCATCTCTACTCTTTTTCTCTTTCCTTCACGTTCCCTAGTGGAAAATAGGGCTTCAAGCTAGTAGCTTGAAGTTTCTGTAGCACTGTTTATTTTTACAGGATGGGATTGGTAGGCTCATGCCCACTCTTTCCTCTTCAACATCATTATTTCTGGCTTAGCGAGGTGAAGGATTGCGTCGGTCGGGGATCGAACCCCGGACCATATGCATCGTTGGCGAGCATCCTAACAGCTACTCATAAGCGATGGAGTCAAATGCAGTCTGACGTATGAAGTGTGGTTAGCGTCGGAGACTAAAACCTGTCGAAGGGTAAGAGTTGGACCAATGCGCCTTCATCCGCAACCTGAAGAGTTTGTTTTTTCTAAAGGGCGGTTATTCATGTTCGTTTGTTCCCAGGACTATGGGTTGTCCGACACTCTTAGATAGTATTTTGGTCCTGCGATTATCAACAATCTATACCGATCTTCTGGAACTACATCAGACCCCCATGCACTAAGTGTTACCTAAGCTTGATCGATATTTTATCACATCCTTCCTCAAACACTTCTAGATCGATACCATTCGGTTCCACAGCTTCATCTAACTTAAGATTAGAAACAGATTTTCCAACGTAAAAAGAAGTTGGAGGAAGACAGGTGAACCGCTCCTCTAGATGTTCTGACGAAAGTTCCAGTCACCTGCTCAAAGTTATTGAAGTTTCGTCCTTCTAGGAGATCATTTCACGTACTATGGTGGTGATTCCTCACTGACTGTTGTGGTTGATAAATTGTAGTTAAGTGTTTATGACTTTCTATGGATTGATATCGGTGTCGTTAGGTGAGATCATGTTTCTTCTTATGATTTAAGTTAATACTAACCAGGATAGATGTTTATTTCAAACAGTATTGAAAGAGACGGTGTTCGTAAGTGGTTCTTCGGCACTCGGCCCTATAGGCATCTCAATACAGTTTGTGGACTATCACATCTTCCCCACTTGTGCGTTAAAATCAAACTTCTAGCAGTAAACTAGGTTATCCACTTTTTACACTGCAGTAATTTGAAAAGTAAGGGGGATTAAGAAAACGTTTCGACGAGTTTCACAATCTTATTTACTTTTACAAATTCGTTTAAACGAGCAACGCACGGAGAACTGTTCATCGCTACCCTGTCAAACCCATCATACACCAGTGAGCTTACTAGAACTAGTCAACGAATCAACTGCTGTTGGGGTGAATTTCTTAAATTCAACTTGTTAGTCATGTCGAGTTTGAGGAATACCTACACTTGTGTACTGTATGCTTGTCTCAGAGGTGTCATAGTTTTGGCTAACAAAGTCTTTTCCGATTTGCCTTTAGTTTCTGGCACTGGATCCAAATGGAAGTTATCAGCTTGGTTTTATCAGACTGAGGTCGGTACCCCTCTTCTCCCAGGTTATCAGCAATGGTCAGAAGGTTGAAAGAAAGTAAACTGTATAGGAAATAGTGTTAACAAGATGGTAGCAAGATGATGATGAAGGGGAGTAATAGACAGAAAAATGTTATGTTTATTAAGCTAATTGGGCAGCTGCCAATTACCGCCTGTCTATACCGAGAGTATGACCTCGCCCTCCAAAACTTAATATGGAGTAAGCGGCTTGCCCAGTGATAGTAACCGCCTTTAAATTAACTGCTATCTAGGTGACCTATGTGGCTTGGTAGGAGCTGAATGAACCATCGTTCCAGCTAGGAAAACTGGTTGAGTGATTGCGATTTGAAAAACCTGATATCTTGTCAGAGGAGCACCTTCCTATTGGTGGAGAGTGCTCTACAATAAACTAGTCTTTTTGTTTGATTTTCGTGGAAGACTTATCATGTTTCATCTCAGACCTATACTTCATAGCAGCGATTATGAGACTGTAAGGTCCCAATTTGTTATTGTGCTTTTCACTTCGGAACTCAGCTAGATGGCGATCAGCTTAGATCCATGGTTCAGAACACCTGCAGGAAGATAGAAGTCAGCTGTTGAATACCAAGGGTAGCTGAAAAGTGAATCACATGAATATGATCGCTTCATGAGAGTTTTAGCTTTCATTTGTAAATTTATAAGTTGAACAATAGTAGATACGGTTATTTTTTTAATTCTCTAGATATAATGGAGCGTTGGATTGGTGGGTAGCTATTCTTTTATTGACAATCAGGTTTACTTGGGAAGTGTTAGACTTTTTTGTTATAACAGTAGTGATCACACTGGAATTTGTGGGTTCGTTACAACTGTTACTTCAATACGAAAATATACGTAGCATTCAGGTTCTACCCGAGGACTTAGCGAGTGTTGTCACCCAGTGGTCTCCTCAGTGTGCGTCCGATCTAGCTTCGTTTTCTTCTGAATACATGTTGAGCAATAGGTTCCTGATTGATTCGTTCACAGGGTTTAATGTTGCTAATCCTTTCTGGCCATCTCGTCTTCAGTAGGGAACAATGATACTTGTTGATGAAAGCTTGAATTATTATTATTATTGTTCCCTTGGGTTCCTAATGGAACATAGGGCTTCAACTGCACGTCTCCACTTGCCACTTCTGTCTTCTGCTCTACTTTTCACCTGCATCCATGTTAGTCCATACTCTTTCAACTCCTCTTCACACG